ACGTGTATCAGTTACTTGACCCACTCCCTACAAATAAAACTACAACATAAAAATATGCAAGATATACGTTATTTTAAAGTAACGTTTAGATAAATAAATACATTTTCAAAATTTTTATGCATAGAGGAATGACGAACATCCTTGTGGCCGATAAATATCTCAGTTGGATTATACCTGACAAGTGGACAATGGAAGACGCAGCAACGATTCCGTGTGTGTACAGCACGTGTTACTATGCTTTATACATGAGGGGTAAAATGAAAAAGGGAGACAAAATCTTAATCCATTCTGGTACTGGAGGCATTGGTCAAGCTGCGATCCATCTTGCGCTTCACAAAGGTTGCGAAGTGTTTACGACAGTTGGAACTGTCGAGAAACGACAGTTTATAAGAAAAACGTTTCCCTCCATTCCCGAAGATAATATCGGAAACTCTCGAGATACAAGCTTTGAACAAATGATTATGCAGCGTACAAAAGGTTGTGGGGTGGATATCGTATTGAATTCCTTAGCCGAAGAGAAATTACAAGCATCTGTTCGCTGTTTAGCAAATGGTGGCCGTTTTCTAGAAATTGGAAAATTTGATATGTTTTCCAATAATTCCTTGGATATATCTATCTTTTCTAAAAATATCAGCTTTTATGGGATTTTATTAGACAAATTATTCTATTCAAACGCAGAACAAAAGTCAAGGTTGTGGAAAACAATAACAGAAGGTTTAAAAGACGGTGCTATTAAACCACTATGCAGAAGAGTCTTTAAAAGAAATGAAATAGAAGCTTTAGATATATGGCCGCTGGAAAACATATTGGCAAGGTACAATTATTTCTTAATATACACAGAAATATGTTATTATATGATACAGAGTATTTTATCATATCAAATTAGAAACAATTTTTTGTTTCTAATTAATGCTATAAAGATAGTAATAAATGTAGGTTTATTTAAATAATTAGAGGAAAGTACCCGATTATGAGATATCATATCTATTTTGTGCGCGATGTGATTGCCGGAAGTCTATGGGCAGAATTGAAAAATATAGTAGGTCATTTTGGAGGGAATTTAATAAGCTTTAAGATGCTGAAATGTAAAATTTAATTTAAATATTAATTTTGCTGAAAATTAAAAAAATGTAAAAAATGAGTTTTCGGCAAAATCGCAAAAGTGTGCTCCTAATATGAGAGACCCCGGGAAATCGCTAATAAAGTGCAAAATAGATCAGTATTACTATTAAAAACCTTTATTTAATGTTTCTCAAATACACGTGTGATGCAGAAGCATATTTGCGACAATCGTAAACCTACTTATACTCAATATTGTACCTAATCTTCCCCCTCCACCCTTCCCTCTCAAATCAAGGTCAGCACAGTCTTATAAATTCATATAAACCTTTCCTTAACGTTAATATAGTATTTTCTCTTCTTTTATTACTATACAATAACTTTCATACTCCAGCAACCCAGGAGTACCTCCCTGAGTATCTCATGTTATACGAGCACCACGCCTTGCGGTTTCACGATCACCAAATCTAATCTCTACAATTGAGCAACTCAACATATCCCGTATTTTCCTATTAATACGACCTTACTCTATCGCTGCATGCAGAACTTATTGCCAAATATTTATTAATTATATAATAAACAAGGTTTAAAGACTCATATCCATGACACTTGACAACATCCAATTTTACAATTTCTTTCTCTGCAACGACTACACGCACGATCAAATAATGAATTTTTCACTAAATAGGTTTTACCCCAAAGGCAATAAGTTCATGGTGGAACCAACAGATAGGGCCTATTAGTTTAGCAGAAACCTCGCTGTCGCATATTAGGAGCCTATCTCATAATGGGGGACTTTCCTCTATATTTGACCAAGAAACTTTTTATATTTATATTAATAAATAACGTTAATTATTAATTAATTAAAATTAATAATAAAATTAATGATAAAATGCGAAACAATATCAATAATAAAATAAAATATGAAATCTTTATTATTTATAATTTATTACTTTATAGAAAAAACGATTGTTTCTTAATTGCTTATTCGCAGATAATTATCAGAGTTCACAAAGAGGAAGAGCCTTTGGATGCTCCACTACTCGCTCATCCACGATATTATTGTTTGGAGCATAAATGCTACGTTATTTTGGGTGAACTGGGCGGATTTGGTTTAGAGCTAGCTGATTGGTTGACTCTTCGAGGTGCAAAAAATTTGGTATTAACATCACGAACCGGGATCAGAACAGGTTATCAGCAATCAAGAGTAAAACTATGGCGATCTTACGGTGTGGATGTACAGATTGTTACAGTCGATGATAATTTGAAACATGAAGATTGTGAATCCCTATTAAAATTTGCTGAAGAAAGAGCACCAGTGGATGCCATATTTAATCTTGCAGTTGTTTTAAAAGATTGTATATTTCAAAATCAATCACCTAAAACGTTCGAGGATTCATTCAAATCAAAAGCATGGATAACAAAAAAAATGGACGAATTGTCGAGGAAGATCTGTCTGCAACTTCGACATTTTGTCGAACTTCGACTTTTTTCCTCCGTGTCGTGTGGAAGAGGAAACGCAGGTCAAACAAATTATGGGATGGCTAATTCCGTAATGGAGAGAATTTGTGAGAAAAGGATGGAAAAAGGATTACACGGTTTAGCGATACAATGGGGTGCTGTTGGTGATGTCGGACTCGTGGCAGATATGCAAGAAGAAAATAAGGAATTGGTTATTGGAGGTACATTGCAACAACGAATATCTTCCTGTTTGAAGACATTAGAATTATTTCTGTTACAAGATCGACCTGTTGTAAGCAGTATGGTTGTTGCTGAAAAAGCAAAAATTGGCGGATCAATGAATATTTATGAAATAGTTGCTCATATAATGGGTAAGCAGTTTTATGCAAAGCTAAATAAAAAAAAATACTAAATACATATAATAGCCATGAAATAGAAGTGAAATCAAAATGTTATTTCTCTACAATTATTTGTTAAAAAATACACACATAAAAAAGATAATTATACAGAAAGAGGGCAACCTCACCGATTTTAATAACCTTAACATATGTTGTCAAGGGCGTGATCTTGAATAACTTTTCCTTATAACTTAATCGGCGGTCATTGTTTATTTAAAAAAGTTAAGAACAAATAATGTAACTAAAAAATATAAAACAGTTTATGTCAGTGCTAAGGGAATAAGTAATTTACTGATATGTGTGTATAGACAGTATACATATGTAGGCGGGGGAGAGGCTACTCCACATGCAGGGATAGGTGGGGGGTGGACCTCGGTTCGCATGGAAAGTTGAAAACCTGAATCGTACAATGATAGACTTTGTTTTATTCTATAAGCAGGATAGGGTGAGGTGAACCTCAATGTAATCAAAGGTCTGACTTAACCCAATTGTTGTATGGGTGAGAAACTTTCCACGCAAACCAAGGTCCACCCCCATCCACCCTTGCTTGCGGGGGAGAGGTTGTAGCCCCTCCCCGCCTACACGTGTACTGTCTATACACACATATTAATAAATTACTTCTCTTAGAACTAATATGTTACTTTATAATACCTAAAAAAAAAAGTAATAAAATTGTGAAACTTCAATTTGCTAGTTCTTCTAAATAGTTCAGTCATTTTAGGTTTTCTGTGCAAAAAAATTAGTAACCACTATTTTTTTTTTTAATTGCTTTATTTCGTTGTTTTAAATAACATATTAAAAATCGAGAACGATACCGGGTGTGCTAAAAAAGTTATTCAAGGTCAAAGGTCACAAAAATCAGTTTTTTGCGAAAATCTCGTTTTGTATGGCTCGGAGGTCAATTAAGGTGGTTACAAAAAAGAAAGATCATGAAATTCTCTACAAAAATGGTTCTATTCATTTTTCACGTACGATAAACCGTTTGCGAAATACATAGTAACGAATGTGTACGTCGAGCGTTGTATCTATTTCCGCACCACCTTTGAGGTAAGATACAAGGCGCGTTTTTTTTACATGGTGTCCCCAGTAGGCCTAATCCATGTCAAATGTAAAAAAATTACGTTTTTTATATTTTTTTAATTTTTTTTATTTTTTTCATTTAATCTCTATCTTCATCATTTAAAAAAATTACGTTTCATCATCTTCTTCATGAATGTCATGTATTTCATCAATAGGTTCTTCTAGTTCTACATCTTCGTTATCTTTATCATCTTCACTCGTGTTTGTTAATAAAAGATCAGTAGGATCAATCTCATCATACTCAGTGGAATCATTATCGGACGTATTAGCAGCAGAAGCTTCAGGCATGGCATTAAGACATGATTGTCCATGACAGTTGCCGCATACAATGGAGCAAGATAATCCGATTTTCCTGCATCCGCAGTTTGCACCGCATCCTTTTGTACAATAACAAAAAATAGTATTAAGAATACTGTCCGGCGCAGGTGGTAACAATAACGTTGTAACGGGCTCCAAAATATTGTTATTTAAGATCCAGCCCCACTGTTGTGGATCTATATCTTTTCCCAGTCATGTTTGGACCTGGTAATGTACACGGTACAGGTGTTGTTGAGCTGCTGCAGTTGTAGGTGGAAGCGATTGTAATTTTACAGCAGTATTGAACGTAGTCGATTTCGCAAAACTCAAGTACCGATAGTTATCAAGAGATGTTTTCGACTTAGAAGCTCCATACATCGCCAAAATTATCCGTACTCCATTCTCAAATATAAGTTGTTGAGAGCAATTTTCTTGTTGAAAAACTTCTGCAGCTTGATATAAATCAGGACGATTTTCAAAGATTTTTATTGTTTTAAGTTTTCCTTTATTAAATAGAGCAAAAGTGGTATCACATCCGGTTATTGCATGTAGCAATAAAATATGTTGCTTACAATGAGGATATTTGTCAAAGCTTGAAGAATTATAAAATTGCGTCTTGACCTTTCCCTTGCCTGGTTTCATGAAAAATAATTGTTGCTGTGAATGACTAAAAATCTGTGTTGACAATGGTACTGCAAATATCTTCTCTTATAATTGCTGCAGCAGTTTTAACTATACGTAAACGTTCTTCTGCTGGTTTCAATTTTTTATTTTCATACCAAACATTGGTCAGTATAGCCGCTTGAGTATCGCGAAAACATATTATTGTCATTTTATTTGGCTTCACAGTAATAATAATATTTTTACCATATTTTTCTATTAATTTTGTTTGGATCGTCATATCAGCAGGGGCATCTTCTCCAAGCAAATCTCGCAGCTCTGCTAACGTGAATTGGCAGTCATCGTGATTTTCGATGTAATAAAATATTTTTTCCATTTTATCGGCGATTTGTATGTCGATTGGTCGGCCTATCTTGCTGCTTGTTGGATGTTTTAAAAATAGTGCATAACAATTTTTATGATATTTAGCTTTTACAGCTCTTAAATCAAATTCGAAGTTAACGCGATCTTTCACTATTCTGCCGAATCGGTCACCACGTGCATCCGCTGTTTTAATAATAGTGTCTTGAAATTGATCTGTACTCACATAACTTATAATTGATCTACGTTGTTGTACTTTTTTTCTCTCAAGTGCTTCGTCAGCTGGTTCGGCACAAAACAAACACAATTTTTCAAAATTGAAGGAGCTTGACATTGATCGTCTTTTTCGCGGAGAACATTGAGATGTACTAGGGCCCTCGTCGATGCATCGCCTTTTATCTGCTTCAATACTGTTTTTACTGCCAGCTGCCACTTTCACCCATTTATTTATAGCATACGTCACGTTTACGGAACGTGACCAAGGTTACTGTACTTCTCATTGGCAACACAGGAGACTCATATTTTATACCTCCAGTAAGTTGGCTCCCCTACTTTTACTTTCTTAATTTTTCTCTATGCGAATCATTTGTTGGTCATTAATGTAATTATTATTAGCAAAATACATTTTAGTGTAAAGTTAGATTTATGCGCCTTGTATCTTACCTCAAAGATGGTGTGGAAATGGATGCAACGCTCGACGTACACATTCGTCACTTTGTATTTCGCAAACGGTTCATCGTATGTGAAAAATGAATAGAACCATTTTTGTAGAGAATTTCATGGTCTTTCTTTTTTGTAACCACCTTAATTGACCTCCAAGCCATACAAAACGAGATTTTCGCAAAAAACTGATTTTCGTGACCTTTGATCTTGAATAACTTTTTTAGCACACCCGGTATCGTTCTCGATTTTTAATATGTTATTTAAAACAACGAAATAAAGCGATTAAAAAAAAAAATAGTGGTTACTAATTTTTTTGCACAGAAGCCATATTTTCGTCTAAAATGACTTAAAACCTATATGCCGTCCCTCACTTATTTTTTGCGTAGAATTACTCAGAACGATTCCCGCCCCTTACAACATATTTAAGTGGCGATAAAATTGGCGAGTGCTGACCTTTTATGCATATTTACCAAGAAATGTAATAATTTGATTCTTAGTTAAAATTTTTGTTGTATATTCAATTTTAAAAGATTAACTAGAATAACATAAAATTGATTTTATTATACAATAATTCTTACTTTATTTCAAAATAGGATTAAAGAACATAAACACAGTACCACCAAACGTACCGCTGGTCGAAATAGGTATGGATTCAATGATGGCAGTTGAAATTAAGCAAACGTTGGAAAGAGAGTTCGATATTTCCTTGACAGCGCAAGACATTAAAACTCTAAATTTTGCTAAACTTCGACAAATGACAATTACAACCGAACAAGGAAAGATACACGATACAAATAAAATTGAGCCAAGTAATTTGGAAAGCTTTCACATGCTGATTCAAAAAATGAAGGATGCAGACTTTGTTCCAGATATTCTTGTAGAATTTATTACCAAGAAAGAGGTTGATCGAGGCAATATATTTCTCTTACCAGGAATCGAAGGATGTTCAAACGTATATGAAACTATGGCATCAGGAATTAAATTTTCGGCAACGTGCTTGCAACATGGTGTACTTAATATTCCTGATGAAAGTCATTCAGTGATGAAATCAGCCGCTCATTTGCTGCCTGTAAGGAAATTAAATTTAATTAAAATATTTATTGTGATTATTTTTAAATAGTTTATAAGTATATATATAAGTAATATTTAACAATTAGAGGTACAAATCTTTCATATTATACCATAGCTTACACATACATTTATATTTATTTTCTTAGCACGTATTAAAGAAAATGAAAGATCAAAGGAAATTTCTAATAGTGGGTTATTCGTTTGGATCCTTAATTGCCATTGAATTAGTAAGATTATTAGAAGCTAAAGATTTCTCAGGACGGTTAATATTAATAGACGGAGCTCCCGATCAACTGAAATTTTGGACTAATCAATATTTGAACTGTACTTCGCCAGATGAGTTACAAAATGTGATATTACTTCGTTTATTGGAAATGTACTCTATAATTAACCAGAAAAAGGTTAGTAAATAATAAAAAAAACACATTTTTTATCATAAAAACTATTTATGTAATTTTAATCTACATAAATTTAAATAAAATAAGAACACACATAAAATGACTCATTGTAACATGAATATCTTTAAAGATTTGTATTTGAATCTTCAAATAGTAATTAATATATTGTTTTACATTTCGTTTTGTATGTGTGTGTCAAGATCAAATAATAATAATAATAATAGTTTTAGATAGAAAGCACAATAAATGAGTATTAATAATTATGGAAAAAGATTTAGAAATTTTAATGAATTAATAAGAATAATAACAGATTTTATCATGGTTTAAAAATTCAATAAATCTTTCATATTTATATTGATAAAACGCAGATGTTATTTTGGTATATTTATTATAATTAATCATACAAAATTTTCTTATTTACAGCTTGCGTTAGAGCTGAATAAATGTAACACAGTGGACGAAAAATTAAAAGTATTTCATGCTTACTTCCCGAAGGATTTAAATGTATTGACCATCGAAAATCAAAAGCTTATATATTTCACAGTTTACAATCATATTGTCGCTGTACAGGATTACGATATTTCATCATTACCTCGCCTTAAATCACCTATAACATTGCTAAAACCCACATCTCCAATTGCTTCTTTTACTGAAGAGGATTATAGTTTACATAAGGTAAATTTAATTTGCATAGAGATATTTTTGGAATATAAGACTATATGATTTTAGAAATAAGAAGCTTTATAACAAGAAACTTATTTCCAGGTTACCGAAGGTAAAGTGCAAATTCATTATGTGGAAGGTAATCATATCACAATGATGGACAACGAAAAAATTACATCAGCTATTAATGAAACATGGATAGAAGATAATCTAATACAATAAAATATAAATATATATTTTATTGGGACGGGGTGACATCATATATATTGTATAAAAATATTATATACATTATATATATATATATATATATATATATATATATATATATATATCATATACAGGGATATATATAATATACAGGGTGTTTCAGAAAGTATGGGACAAACTGTAGGGAATGATTAAAAGAATCAATTTTTCAAAGGAAAGTGTGAGTTAATACCTGCTTTATAAGCGATTCAAACAAGGACATGTAGTTCCTCAAAGTTGCGTCGAAGAATACGGATTTCTTAAGAAAAATTGATTCTTTCGGTGAGACCTACGATCTTCTAAAGCTTGTCTTACCTATACCTTCTGAAACTGTATAGTAAAATATAAATTTTTTATTTGCACGTTTGAATGAATACAATATAATATAATTTATATATGTTATGCACACATAATATTTTAATATAATGTATATTATGTTCTAAAATATAGTATACATTTATTATTAAAATACTTTAACAATTATATATATACATATATGAAATATAATATAATTTATACTTTATTCAAATATGGCAATATAATAAATCTAATATTATGCATATACTTGTTATTTTCTCAGTTGGCAAAATTATATTACTATTCTGTTGAGAAAAAAATTAAAACCATAAAGTGTGTAATATATGTGTTTGAATTTTAATAATTTTCAAAATAATTGTTTTATTCGACCTGACTGACTACATTTATTAAATCTTAATCTTCATAATCATTGGTTTTGACCATTGATTTCGATTCTTTATAAGTGCTAATTTAAGTCATAACAAAGAAGCTATGGCTATTTTACAAAAAATTTTATCCATTATTTATTATATGAAATTGGGCCAAAAAAGTCATTGATATGACTATTTTACAAAATAAATTTTACTTCGAAAATTAATAAAATCACCTAGTAAAAGTAGAAATTATTGTATATTTAAATTACAATTTCTCTCTCTCGGCTCAAGAAAGTTATTAAGGTTGAAAATAAATTAAGTTGAAAAATGCATCTGCCAATCACAATAATATCAAAATTAAATCATTTGTTTTCTTTTATTTAACAAATAAAATGTAGAAGTTTTTATTTCTGTAACACTCTTCTACGACGTAAATTAAATTTAGAAACGCATAATAATTGTAATAAATTAACGTAAGTAATTGTATTATTACCTTTGTTTCGTTAAATAAATAAATTTAGCCGGAGACCGGGGCTATTCGTGACACTGCTGAAATTTTGTCGCGGGCCTAACTTTAAAATGCTTGCTGCTAGAAACCTATAATATCAATCACAGAGATGTTTCTTAGTGTCCTCTAGATACCAACGAAATGGCATTTGCGTGTCAACTATTTTTTTCTGTCAGTGACAGAAAGTTTGATTTCAAGTGCTCAAAGTAAATTTTTTCAAATCCCAAAAATTTGTTTTTTCGCCGAATAAAATAATAAGAGATCCGAAACGGTAAGTTGTATTCAGTCACTCGACTTCAATAAGCATAATAATGCATAAGTAGATTTTATGGTATTCTTTCTTATCTGTAAGTCACGGATCATGAATAAGGCATTTCGTGACACGAGCAATCAAGGCAACCAAAAACGCCACAAATAAACGGCCAAAAAAAAAAAAAAAAAAAAAAGAACAATTCGCAGGGGCCGTGGACGCCTTCGAGAAGTATGGTTTCCCGTAATCGAATGTGAGCGATGAAGGCGATTAATGGAACAGGCGTTACATTTTTCCTCATAACTTTTTATACATATAATATGTAAATTTTGACAAATAAAGGCTTTTTCAAAGTATAAAGTAGATAAAAATTGCAAAAACGAAAGACATCTATATAGTTTGTTCAATCAGAGAAAGTGTTGCGCATTATCCAGTGGTTTGTCACGAATTACCACGGCTTCGGGGCAATTCGTGACACATGACATAGCGATACATTTCTTGATATATTTCGAGACTCGTGAGAAAAAAACCTACATATTTTTTTTCTTTTAAACTAGAAAGATAAACAATTACATCGCACTAATAACAATTTTTTAAACATTTATACGACGCGGAAAAAAAATTTGAAACAAAAATGTGTCACGAATAGCCCCGGTCTCCCCTAGATGATTTTTCTTGGATATAATACTTCTAATATTCTGTTTGTTAATATTTGCTAATAGCCCAGTCAAATGGGCAGAAATTTTCACCTTTCAAGGAAATAATACTAAGTGCGCTGTAACTAACGTGGAAGGTGTCTTTTGGGGTTGTAATGAAAATACTAAAAGCCCACCCCCGTACCATTGTCGTAGCAAAAATGGGGGTGCAAAAAAGGTCCCAAAAATTGGTTTTTTGCCAATAACTCGAAAAGTATCGCAATTAGGAAAAAAAGTGAAGACGTGAAAGTTGTAGAGAATTAAATTTCACACAAAAAAGGTTGAGAGAAAATTTTTGTACGACCAATTGCAGCCGATCTAGATTTTTTTGAAATAATAGGTATTTCATGACATATGGAAAACACGCGAGCGCGTCGCGCATTTTTTGTCGATAGTTAGAAAATGGCGACTCAAATAAAAAAATAGTTCAAATAAAAGTTGTAGACGATTCAATTACGAACAATTTCCGTTTTTTTTTTTTCGATACGATCAGTATTGACAGAGATATGAATTTTTTAAACATTTATTATCGCGCGGTCAATATGACTGAAAAGCATTATCGCAATAAATGGTATTAAATGAAATAATAATTAATTAATTAATTATTAATATGTGAATTATGAATAATATGTACATAATTTATGATGACTTGATGAAATATAATGGTTTGCAAGTAATCCTTCGTGTCGTAGTGTCTTCCAGGGAAGAAAATTTTTTGCCCTCACTTTTTAATAATTTGTAGCATTATTCGATATTTTTACATGTTTTATTGTGATTTCAATATTGTAAACTGCTAAAAAATCTAAAATTATTCGAAATTGGTATATCTATATATATAAAGGAAGATGTCCTGACTGACTGACTCATCAACCCCCAGCCCAAACCCCTGAACCTAGAAACATGAAATTTGGAGAGTGTATCTCAATATCTTTTAAGCCCGATGAGATATCGACTTGGTTTTTGCTTGGTTTTTGCTTGGTTTTTGCTTATTGAGAAAGTCGTGAAAACACATTTTACCCGTTTTCACCACCTTGGAGGTTGAACTTCTAAAAATCCTTTCTTAGTGGGTGCTTACGTCATGAAAGGAATACACTCTCCAAATTTCATGTTTCTAGGTTCAGGGGTTTGGGCTGGGGGTTGATGAGTCAGTCAGTCAGTCAGACATTCAGTCAGGACATCTTTCTTTATATATATAGATTATCTAATTTTTTTTCTCATTCGCACAACTTTTAGCTTTAATTTGCACTTTGAAACATTAAATTTCGTCAATTTGTTCGCGAATTATGAATAAAACGAGTCGTAACAGGCGTTCGTCAACAAATAATTGTTGTAAAAAAATATTTAAATAAATAATTTACAAATGTTTTTTACATTGATTTTTAGTCGAAGGTATAAAGATATTATAATAATTTTTGGGGAATTTTCCAAAGCTATTAACATTTTGAAAAACGCGTATAACTGCCCCCATACTGAAGTCCGGCTACCTGCTCGCCGCTTACTATCCGACGCCAGGACATTTCTTGTGTACTATTCGTTCTAAAAATATCGCACCGGTACTGAATGACACCTAAATGTATGCAGAATGACGTCCAATACTTGAAAAAATTTTAAAAATTTGTTAAGTACATTGTTTTTAACTTTGAAAATGCTCCAAAATTTCACTTTTCTGCAAATTCAAAATCACAAGCATTTTTAATTGTCCGTTTCATAATGCTACTTATTACAAATCGAATATCAAGGTATCAGTTTTGTAGGAAATTTTATCAGCTTTAATTTTGACCGGGTGGAATTTCTTCGTAAAATCAATAGAAAAGAAGATATATGCAAAAAACTAAGTACAAATGCCACTTTTGCATAATTTCTTTAAAAAACACCACTTTTCGAGAGTTCATTTTTTAAAGAAATTATACCTTTCGATGAACTTACAGTGCTGCATTACTTTCACACACATATAAACTACTAAAAATAGGTGAATACCAATTTTTAAAAAATTATTACACATGTATTTTTTCAATATATTATTAATTTCGTATGAAATTGTATTTTTCCTGACATCTTTAAACAGCTGTAATTTCTTAACAAATGATCGTACGAAGATGAACCAAATGCCGTTTTAAAGACAATTTAATCCTCTTCAAAAAATGTAGAGAGATTTTGACCTACAGCTAACTGAAAGTTATTTTTTTTGGCAAAATCCACAAAAAAATGACAATTTTTCATGTTTATTAGCATTAACACACTACGCATATATCCAAAACGAGTTTGCATATACATCAAAATTTTCGAAATTTAATTATCTTTCACTTTCGTAAAATGTAATATTTGCGTTAAACTTACAGATGTTGAGTTACAAGCGATTTTACCACTAAAAATCATACTCGAGGATCGATAATAAATGTTTTAAAAAATTCATATCTCTGTCAATACTGATCGTATCAAAAAAAAAAAAAACGGAAATTGTTCGTAATTGAATCGTCTACAACTTTTATTTGAACTATTTTTTTATTTGAGTCGCCATTTTCTAACTATCGACAAAAAATGCGCGACGCGCTCGCGTGTTTTCCATATGTCATGAAATACCTATTATTTCAAAAAAATCTAGATCGGCTGCAATTGGTCGTACAAAAATTTTCTCTGAACCTTTTTTGTGTGAAATTTAATTCTCTACAACTTTCACGTCTTCACTTTTTTTCCTAATTGCGATACTTTTCGAGTTATTGGCAAAAAACCAATTTTTGGGACCTTTTTTGCACCCCCATTTTTGCTACGACAATGGTACGGGGGTGGGCTTTTAGTATTTTCATTACAACCCCAAAAGACACCTTTCATGTAAGTTACAGCGCACTTAGTATTATTTCCTTGAAAAATACCCATTTGACTGGGCTATAAACACTATAGAATCAAT